TTTACACAAAGCCAAATTTCTTGCTACCAATCTTGGCAATTTAAGTATCCCATACATAGGGATCCATCACATTGGAGAACTTTCAGGCCTATTTGTAATAAAAGAAATATCTACGCCTGTTCGGTATGATTTAATAAAAATGGAGACTACAAGAACAAACAGGGCAAAAAAATCCTCTCATTAGTTTCTTTAAGCTGTTTTATAAAAAAAAATATCTGTTAAGTTTATGATTCGGTCCATTAGATCCCCTATTACTTTAGTTCCTATTACATAGAGTTGCAGGCAATTTAATTTTTCTCGTAGTTAGAAAAGCCTTTTGATTTATGATTTAAGTGTTTCACTATTCCTTTTACCCTTGATACATTGCTATCAGAACACATTCTCAAGTATTTTCTGTGGTATATTTTCAGAACAATTCATCGATTCTCTTAAGAAACTGCTGCTTATTTGAATATTACTGGGTTTGGGAAATTTGGTTCAAATTTATATTTTCCTGATACTAGCCTACTGAATTGTAAAGCAACATCCTTCTCCTTTTCCAGAGTTCTATCAGTTGCATATTTATAAATAAATTTATCCAACCAATAACAATTTAATCAGTGCCTTATATGGCATATCCAAAGAAAAATCTGACATCAGAGCTGTCCACTGGAACTTTCACCTAGCTGGAGATATGTACATGAATAGATATATTTAAAGGCATAAGCTGACCTGTACCATAAAGGAGATAAAAATAGGATGCCATGAAAGTGGAGATGAAAGATTAATTGTGAATGTGCAAATCAGCTTCTTGAAGGTTGGCATTTGAATAAATCTTAGAAGAATAGGGAGGTGGTGTTGCACTGTGGCTAGAATGGAGAGCTCCGATATTACACCCCTTGAGATTAAATCTTGATTTACAACCTGTGTGAGTTTGTGCAGGGCACTGAAACTTCATTGATTCATTTAACAAATTTTGACACCACACCTGCTGTGTGTCAGACTTCATCAGGTATTTGGGATATGGCTTTATATGAAACGCAGAAAAATATGTGCCTTCACGGAGGTTGTATTCTAGTGGGGGGAAGGGGAAGTGATCAATAAATGTATATGGAAAGAGATTGCATGGTGTATTAGCAGGCCATGTGAAAAAATAAAACAGCTGATTAAGGGAGATGAGCAGTACCAATAGGGAGAGAGAAGCCCTGGGAGGTGGGTGAGTTTCACTGAGAAGGCGACATTTGCACAAAGACTTGAAGTATGTCGGGGAGGCAGCCACGTGTTATCTGCAGCAAGAGTGTGCCCAGTAGTGAGAAAAGCACGTGTAAAGGCCTTGGGGCAGGAGCAGGACTCTCATGCTCAATGCATAGCAGAGAGATGGGTATGGCTAAAGCAAAGAAGGGAAAAACGGCAGGAGATGGCAGATGAAGGGCTTCAGAAGCCATTAGAAGGATGTTGGCTTTTACTCTGAATAAAACAGGCAACCATTGCCGGGCTTGGGGAAGAAAATTGACACCATCTGACCTGTATTTGAACACTGTCATTCTGACTTTTATGCAGAAAACACGCAAGGACGAAAGCAAGCACCTCACCTAGGGGAGCTGTGACAGTGATCCAGGCAAGAGATGGTGGCGTTCAGTCCAGAGTAGTGCAATGAAAGCAGGGAGAAACCATCAGATTCTGGATATATTTCCAAAATAAGGGCAATAGGATTTGCTAACAAACTGGATGTGGACTGGAAATGAATAAAGGAGTCAAGAGTTACCATCAGCTGAGAGAGGATTCCAGGTGGAAAGATTTCAGAGTTGGGGGAACGTCAAGTCTTCAGTTTCGGAAAGGTTAAGTCTGAGGTGACTGGCAAGGGCAGGTGTGGAGTAGGCAGCTGAACACGAAAGTCCAGGATTTGGGAGAGAAGTCCTGGCTGAGGATATAAATGTGAGAGTTGTTTGCACATATAATAAATTGTATTAAACCTACGGACTGGATGACGTTCAGGGAGTAAACGTAAGTAAGAGAAGAGAGCCCCGGATTAAGCACTGCAATAATCCAATATTAAGGTTTTTGGGGAGAAAAGAAAATAACAAGAGACTAAGAAGAGGCAGCCAGTGGAGTAGAAGGAAAACTAAGAGAGTGTGGCGGCCAGGAAGCAGGGAAACAATGTGTACCAAGAAGAGATGATAGGCCAGGCGTGGTGGCTCACTCCTATAACCCTACCACTTTGGGAGGCCAAAGTGGGAGAATCGCTTGAGGCCAGCCTAAGCAAGAGTGAGATCCT